ATACATATACATATATATACATGTATATACGTATATGTATATGTATATACATGTTTAATGAAGTTTAAATCCCTCAAACAAACTGGAGAGGGTGAATATTTTTTTTAAACAAATGCCAAATGCCAACAACATGGATGAAGCGCAGTATGTTGTTGGAAAAAAACATGTGAACTTTCATTACGTTTTGACTCATGGGCTCTAATACTCAGAAACAATCCTTCTCAGTCACTATTCAGCCTTACATGAGATCATACGTCTACTTTCTGTACTTTACACTCGTTACACTGAAGCAGTTATGTTTGTAGCCGACATCACGACTATTCTTAAAGCTGCAGTTCGTGCGGTTGTTAGATTGGGTTTGGTTACGCAACTGACGAAAGGTAGCAGTGGGCGCCATGTCCGATATCTTTTACAACTGACGTTCTTTCAGCTGTGTTGAGCTGTAACTCCACCTTCAGATAGCTTCAGTCCCTTATGACACCAAACCTCCAGCCTGCACAGCGGCGGGTACTTACGCACACTTGTCTCTGAAGATGTGCTCCGGGAGGAGGAACGGAGCATCCATGGTCCTCAGCTCAATAACCTGGAGAGAGACAAACACAAACCTTTAACAGCGAAGGTCTCTGAGGCTTCATGAACAGCGCAGTCAGAATGAGCTGATGAGGCACCTTGCTGACGTGCTGACAGAACGGAGGGTTGGCGACCATCTGGCTCAGGAAGTTGAGGTATGCCGCCACCAACGCCATGACACCACAGCGGATTACCATCGGCATGTTCTCCTCGTTAGCCAGAGCCATGTCCTGACAAAGCACACACACACACACACACACACATCAGCAAACACACCGACAGTAGGACACCACTATCTGCTCCAGTAAAGTTTATTCTCACTCATTCACTACTCATGATGTAGTTTGGATGAACGTTTCTTCATTATCTTTATGACGATCGAAACACTTTTAGTGAACGAACACTGACGGTGAAGATTTGATTGTTATTCTCCATCATGTCTGTCATTAACAAGTGACTGCAGGAACACATCACAGACTGGTTCATCGCGTGTCACCGCGGTGTGAGAACACATTGAGAGAAGCAGATGCTCCTCCATGAGAGGAAGTATACTCTGTAAACACTCGCACTCGTATCAGCTATCGCTAATTAATACACCTGAAGTTGCTCTCTGGATTGCTGGTTGCTCTGCTTGTCTACGACGCTGTGACATTTCAGAGCGATGAGATCTCAGCGTGACACACAAACGAGCAGCTGGCGTGCGTGTGTGTGTGTGTGTGTGTGTGTGTGTGTGTGTGTGTTCACACCTCTCTTCCGTCTCACATGTAGGAGGTTTTATTGGACCTGCGTGCCGTCTGCAGTCTAATGACATTAGGACTCTGCTGCCGACGATGACATCGCCGATACTCATCAACCATGAGAATATGACACGTGACTCCATGAATACTCATCCTCACATCAGGGTACCACTGGATGTAAAGCACCAGTGAGAGCTTTGAGAGCTGGGAGGTAACTCAGTGGGAACTCTTGTACTTTTCACTTCACTACATCTATCTGAGAGTTGCAGTTGACAGATGTACATTCTGCGTTTCAGGTGAAAATCTTAAATACGGTTTAAGTTCGATAGGAAACACAGTTTCACCTGTCAATCACTGTGTAGCCCCGCCCCTAAAGCATCCCCTGCTTTATGGTCTGTGTGACTCTAAATGGACCATAATGTACTAAATGAACATCATGCTGTAGTGAAGAAGACTTGAAACTAGAGATTGAGACCATAAACTCATGTTTACAATGTTTACTGAGGTAATAAATCAAGAGAGAAGTAGAGTCATTTTCTCATAGACTTCTATACAACCAGAGGAGTCGCCCCCTGGTGGACACTAGATAGAATGCAGCTTTAACACATGAAGCTTTGACTTCACTCTAAAGAACCGGAGGTTGATGCTGTAGACATATTGTTCTCTGGTATTTTTGCACTGGGTTATTCCTATTATTCCTGCTTTTACCGAAGAAATGTTTGTCTGCATGTAAGAACAGCCGCAGCAAAGTTTATAATAAAACACCAACAAATCATACGAACGACATCGGCTGAGATGAATAAATACCTGCAGGGCGATGGAGAGCCGGATGAGGTCGATGACCACTTCCTCGTTGGCCAGCTCGATGGTCAGAATAGCCAGAGTGGTGAAGAGCAGCTCAAAGTTCTTGTGGACGTTGTCCTCCTCTTTACAGCCCAGATAGATGTGACGGTAGAGCTGCTGGCCGTGCTGGAGGTGAGAGAGAGAAGAAGAAGAGAAGATATCAAGAGATGCAAAGAAAGAAGAAGAAGAGAAGATATCAAGAGATGCAAAGAGAGAAGAAGAAGAAGAGAAGATATCAAGAGATGCAAAGAAAGAAGAGAAGATATCAAGAGATGCAAAGAAAGAAGAGAAGATATCAAGAGATGCAAAGAGAGAAGAAGAAGAAGAGAAGATATCAAGAGATGCAAAGAGAGAAGAAGAAGAAGAGAAGATGTCAAGAGATGCAAAGAAAGAATAAGAGAAGATATCAAGAGATGCAAAGAAAGAAGAGAAGATATCAAGAGATGCAAAGAAAGAGAGGAAGAGAAAGTGAAATAAATCTTTAAAAAGTGTACATCTGGGAGATTCGATGCGAGGGTTCAAAGACGTCTATGCTGTACAGATTTTAAAGCCTCCTGAGGCAAATTTGTGATTTTGGGCAAAACAAATGAATTGAAGTGAATAGACTTTATTAGCAGTGCGGGTGAGAACAGAGTGAGAGCCTCTTCCCTCTCTCTCTGTTAGTCATGGAGAATCCCTTCTGTTCAGCCAGCACCTGTCTTCCTTCAGCTCGGTTGCGTCTTTGACCGCTCACCCTCACCTTCACCATCGGGTGTGTGTGTCGTCCACACGACAAGCTGCTGTGACCTTCAGACCACAGCTTTGGAGCAAAGGAGGCCTTGAACATGACCCAGAAAGAACCTCCCAGGTCTGATCCAGCTCATCAGCTGGACTCCTCTGCTCACCTTAATGCTCCAGACATGTGGCCTGGTGGGATACCACTGGGACGTCTGCCAAGATACACTAATGAGCTGCCTTACACTTACTCCAGGACGTCAAATAAATCTCATGTAAAGATCCAAACGTGTCAGTCCTTCCCTCAACACTGTCTGACTTCCTGTCTGAGGCTTTCAGCTCACACATATGTAATTAAAGTATGTTTTTAAAGGTGCAGTATCTTCCTACAAACAGCAGGAAGAAAAAAAGGAATACAAATGCCCGCTGTCAGCATTGTTTGTGCATTTATCTGCTTGACATGGAGCCTAATGGAGAGTGAAGGCCATTGACTTCCATTCACCACTAATGAATTCAATGAGAAGACCAGCTGGCTTCATCTGCTCTGAACTGCTCCTGATGTTCAGGTGTTTGTCAGTAGAGGTCACAGCTCAGGTGGGATTCACAGGTTAAACTTTTTATTGGAAGGTGCTGATGAGAACCGGGCTTTTCCCGTCAGGCTCAGGAACCTCTGCAACCTCCTCGAATGAAACTCAATCCTGACACTTCTGCATATGTTCAATTAACCTCCGCCACGGACGCTACGTCTTCGCTGTATTTGTTTGTTTCTCAGCAAGATTACAGAAAGAACTACTGGCTGATCTTCATGAAACTAGGCGGACGGGTCACGCTCGGGAGGAACCTGCTCCAGAGCGGATCTGGATCACTTTCGTTAGCGTTGTGAAGACACGGCCTTGAAGTTCTGTGCTCTTTTACTGCTCTTCTAGTTTTTCATTAATGTCAGATTTTCTATTTAGGTTCTATGTCTCATATTCTGTATTCTATATTGTTTAGTTGAACCGTTTGTGTAGCAGGTTTGATAACCAACTCATCTCATGTTTTGCTACAGGTCACCTCTTACGGTGGGTTTTGTTTTCGGTACGCTCTGTAGCATCGCTCAAGAAATAACCCGGTAAGTTTGGGAAGGGATCGGCCTCGGCGGAGGTTTGTGCTCTCCGAGTGACCCTCTTAGTCAACTCTCCATAAAGGTTTCAGACGTACCAGTAGAGCACTTATACTCTTTCTGTAAATGTGAAGCCAGAAGCTATTCTAGATGTTCTCACTAAACAGCAGATTTGTAATGAAGGATTAGTGTTTTACCGCTTTGTGACAAGCTGCAACTTTTGCTTTAGTTGCTCGTAAATGACACATGCAAACAGATGATTTTGGTTGCACGAAATGGAAACCGTTATTTGATGAATAAAGGACCTCAGGTGTTTGGTGCTCTGCTGTTTGGTGCTCTGCTGTTTGGTGCTCTGCTGTTTGGTGCTCTGCTGTTTGGTGCTCTGCTGTTTGGTGCTCTGCTGTTTGGTGCTCAGTTGATAACAAAGAAGTGAGACTTCTTCAGAAAGAACAGAGCAGGATTATAGTAATTTAGAGTTTCTACCTTCTTCATGAATGCAACGTCTTGCTTGGAAATCTTCTCTCTTTTAATCTTCAATGCTGCAACATTAGGAATGATTCTGCAACGGAGACAGAAACAAAAACAGAATTCAGTGGTGGAAAGTACATTTACTCAAGTACTGTACAGAAGTACATATTCAAGGCACTTGTACTCTTCTTGAGTATTTCCCTTTTCTGCTACGTTATACTTCTCCACTACATCTCAGAGGTACATAATGTACTTTTTACTGTACTACATCTTTAAACATTTCTAGACTTTTAGTACGGTTTTAAATGCAGGACTTTTACTTGTAGTAGAGTATTTCTACGGTGTAGTATTGGTACTTCTACTGCAGTAAACAATCTAAATACTTCCTCCAACGCTGCCAGAAAAACACCAGCTACCAGAAGGGAAGCCGGTTATTGAAACCAGTTTCAGAGCCACTACCTTATATGCCATTGAGTTTCTGCTCTCAACGTTACAATCAGACGTGGATCATTTACTCTGAACACGGTACAGCTCAGGGGTATTTTGTACCTGATGCCGCGCAGCTTGGCGCGGTTGTCATGGCGGTCGATGATGTTGTGCAGGATCTCGTGCACCAGCTGCCTCAGCTCGCTCTCCTCCATCAGTGAGATGGAGAAGAGCGGATCCAGGAAGGGAGGAGGCAACGCAGCTGCCATGGACTTGGACTTAAAGCCAGAGGTTACCTGAGGGGGGGGGGGGGGGGGGGGAGGGGGGGGGG